CCTAGTCTGTCTTAGTCTGGAAGCTCAGCTGAAACCTGTCCACCCTGGGTGGCCCTGCTGGTATTTGAATACTTCTGGCATAGCATCCATCATCACAGCAACATGAAAGCTCCCACAGTACCACAAACTGACAGATGCAGGAGGGAAGGTCTTCTCGTCAATTTTTCTCTAGTCTAGGAGCTTCTCAGCACAGGGACCCCAGGTCCAAAGGACATGCTCTGCTCCTGGCACGACTTTCTTGGTAGTATCAGATCCCCAACATAGCCACAATATTATCATTCAATATATAATAAATATTAAAATTATTAAGGTATCTTACATTCATTTTTTTCTAAGTCTTCAAAATCTAGTGTGTACTTTATGCTGGCAACATTTCTCAGTTTGAATGAACCACATTTCAAGTGCTGAATAGCTACATGTGGCTAGTGGCTACCATATTGGATAGAACAGGCTAGAATGTTCTTCCTCCATATCTTTGCAAGGCTGGCTCTGTCTCATTTAGGTTTCCGCCCAGAGGGACGCCTTCCGTGACCATGATGTCTAAACCAGCCACCTTCTATTCCTAACTGCCTTTTTCTCCTCAGAGACTTATCCCTATCTGATACTTTATTAGTTATTTATTATCTGTCTCCCCATAGGATATAAATCCCATGGGAGCAAAGACCTGTCTGTCTTCTTTAGTGCTATGGTCCCGATAACAATGTCCCATCCATAGTAGGCTTTCAATAAATGTTTGTCGAATGACTTTGAAGATTCCAGATTTGTCATTTGCCGTCTCTGAAGCAACGTCCATTCAGTGGTGCTGGGGAGATTCAGTGTGATGTTGGAGAAGGGAGAGCAGGGAAAGGAGAAGCATTATTAAAGAAATAAACCAAACACGTTGCCTTCGAGTTGATTCCGACTCATAGTGACCCTATAGGACAGAATAGAACTGCCCCAAAGGGTTTCCAAGGAGCAGCTGGTAGATCTGAACTGCTGACCTTTTGGTTAGTAGCTGTAGCTCTTAACCACAGTGCCACCAGGACTCCATTAAAGAAGTAAGGTGAGGAGAAGCCTCAGGAAAACTGTGAGGTAAAAGGCTGACTGACTCTCAGATGTCAAATGAAGGGGTGGGACTGGGATTCCATGTTCACACTAGTTTTTTTTTCTGCTATGACTTGGCTGTGTGTTGATTCCACCACTGGCTTTTCCGGTTCTATGAGAAACCATCCCACATAGTGGCACTTCTGTCTGGCGCCAATAGATGGGGCAGTGCCATTAAAAATAGTCCAGCCTGCAGTTTAGAGATGCAGTTTCTACTCCAGCTTCTTGCATGTTCTGTTCTGGAACTGCCCTGGGTCTCAGATCTGTGGTGTGGCCTCCTAAACCACGCCCCTAGCTTCCCCAGCTGAAGAAACACCGCCTCAGTGTACTTTCCAGGGGAATGGGCAGCATCTCCACGAGGTGAGGCGGGCCTCAGAGGCTGACCCCAGCCTAAGTCATGAGGAGACAGCCTGGTCCTTCTCCTGGGTCTCTGAGCACAGGCTCAGAGCATGACTCACACACCAAGGTGTTTGCATTTGCATAGAACCTTTCTGTTCTCCCGTGATTGAAAGCAAGCTTATTAAGAAGATAGTCAAGTGGGACAGACCAGGCAACAAGAGCAGCACTGTGGGCCTGTGCCTCTGGGCTGGGCATCCTGGCTGCCACTGAAAAGCCTGGCCCACCAGTGGAATCCTTCTCCCTGCCACTGTGGTCCACTTGTCTCCCTGCCACCGCACGAAGTGCAACGCGGTGCCCCTGGTAGAGGCGGAGACCAGCCTTAGCTTCCTCAGGACTGCCCATCACCGTCCTTCGGCCTCCTCCTCTAATCCTTTCGACCCTTGGACCCACAAGTAACATGACGTCTGCTTTTGTAGAGTTTAGATTTAGGATTACAGACCAGCTAAAGGTCATTCAGTACCGGTTAACTCGGTGTGTTTTTACCAGAATTTTATAGTTCTTTGGAAGCCGCACCATCCACTCCATTGCCACTGCAGGAGAGTCCACAAATCTGAGCGAAAGAGGATTTAGTCTTGGCTTAAATGACTCATGACGGTCCTCAATAGCTCATGCCAACACCGCGCCTGGTGCTCCTCCATTAACCTGTCAGTACATCTCAGGAAAGGAGCCCTGGTGGCACAGCGGTTAAAGTGCTCGGCGGCTAACCAAAAGGTCAGCAGTTGGAACCCCCCAGCCACCCTGCGGGAGAAAGATGTGGCAATCTGCTTTCATAAAGATTACAGCCTTGGAAACCCTATGGGAGCAGTTCTACTCTGTCCTATAGGGTCACTATGAGTCGGAATTGACTTGAAGATACACGAAAACATGTCTCAAGAGCAGGCATAAGGCACTGGTCAAACGATATCCTGGCACCAGTCAGCTGGGAAAAGGCCATTCTGTCCCTCAGAGACTAGGAGGGCTCCAAAAGCATGATCAGGAGACTTTCTTGTTTCAATGTTACAATCTTGAAACTCCTTCCTAATCTGCACAGGAGTGTGCATTTTCATGTTTCCGTAAATTTGCTGTTCTCTATGCCCTGAAAACTCTTCTACCCTTTCCTGACTGCAGAAATCCTGCTCAACCTCCAAACATCACCACCTCCGTGAAGCCTTTCCTGATTTTCCTAGTCGCCGTGAACCTTTTGTTCTTGCAGCCTCTGATAATGCTCTGGATCCTTCTCATGGCCTTTACCCCACACTGCCTTTTGGGTCACATGTGCGTCTCACTCATTAAAACGTTTATTGAGTGCCTGTTTGTCCCAGTGGAAGCCCAGAATTAGGTGGAGTTTACTTCCTTCATTGGACTGGGAGCTCCGTGGAGATAGGAACTGGGTCTCTGTCATCTTTGTCCCCCGGCAGCTCCTAGCTCAGGGCCTGGCACCAAAAGTTACTCAGAAAAGTTAGTAAATTGAAACTTAACCTGATGAAGCTGAGAAAATTGGATTCGAGTTCAAAGAAAGGTTAAAAATTACCAAAGGTAGAGGGCCAGGAAACTTCCGGAAGGGGCCACCAAAACCCGTTGCTGTTGATTCCGACTGATAGCGACTCTATAAGACACAGTAAAACTGCCTCATAGGGTTTCCAAGGAGCAGCTGGTGGATTCCACCTGCTGACCTTTGGTTAGCAGCCCAGCACTCAACCACCGCGCCACCAGGGCTCCAGTGGTTCTGAAATCAGGACCTGGCATGGAAATCAGGGACATTCACGGTTTCCAGGGGGCTAAGTCTAGGTGGTGGGGGTGCAGTGCACTGTCCCTGTCCAGGGCAGGCCTGGGAATTTGATGACGCTCCGCAGGATCATCTGGACATTTATCACACATTCTATTTTTTTGTTTATTGTTTTACTTTGAGCAGACCACAGAACCAAGCAGGTTGTTTCAAGGACCTAGAAATGAGTTACTAGCCAGCGGTCAAGCTGGTCAGATGATTAAAACTACATTTTCCAGGAGGCAAATGAGAGAAGCATCAGTAATACAATGATCACTGTCAGCAGACGGCGACTGTCTTATTTGACAATGAAACGGAAAACATCATTTGAATTTTTACTAGGAATTCTCATCTAACATGTGTCAATGATGTAGTAAAACTGAATGGCTGGCTTGTCAAAGTAAACTGAGTTTCAGCCGCACACAGTCATCACTTAGAATTCGTATCGATCTCAGAAAACGGTTCTGTTCTGAGGCCTGACAGTGGGAGGGGGTCATGCTGCGGGGTAGGAGCAGGAAGCATTTTATTTATCGACTATATACAATATTGCAGCCCTGGTGGTGCAGTGCTTAGCAGTTCGAATCCACCAGCCGCTCCTGGGAAATCCTATGGGGCAGTTCTACTCTATCTTAAAGGGTAGCTGAATCAGAATCTACTCGACGGCAATGGTTTTTTTAAAAAAATATACGATATTGTTCACTCCGTGGACCTCATTACCACCCACCTCACTTTTCACTATCTGACGCTCACCTGTGAAGAAGAAAGAGCTTCAAGATAGTGAAGATAAGTCTTGGTATCTTCCTTGCCCCTCTTTGTTTTCTTTAATAGAGTTAAATTCTGAAAATAATAATATTACACGGCACCCAGTCGTTCTCAGAGAGCTGTCACATAGGAAGACGCCACTATTTTCCCAACCTTTTTGCACAGGAAACTATAGTCTATGATCCCACCTTCCACCGCCTCCCCCAGAAGTTTCGATCTAGACACACGTTTATTAACGGAGTTGCAATTCACCCTGGGGGTGGAGTGTCTGAATTCAAGTTCCTTTTGCTGTGGGGCAGGCCCAGGTCTTGGTGATTTCTGTAGATAAAAGGGATGTTGGTCAATCTGGATGTAACGCCGGATTGGACCCGTATCTCCCCTCCCTTGACCGATAGCTGCAACCAGGTCCCTTTAAGAGACCAGAACTCGCCGGGCGTCGGAGCCCAAAACGTATCCTCTTCTCTGCTCCTCCCCTGTCCCCGCGCGGCGAATGGTTCGCGCCGACCTATATTTACCCGAGATCTTCCTCCCGGACGGTAAGGATGTGAGGCGGCGGAGCTGGCCACCGCGCGCAGCACCGAGAGGGCGCTGTAAAGGCGGGCCGCCGACGGAGGGGAACCCGGGAGCGGAGCTGAACCACCCCGGGAGGGAAGTAATGAGGTAGCAGCCGTCCCGGAGCCGACCATGCGCGCGCCCCGCCCTCCGAGCCCCGCGCTGCCCTGGCCGAGCCAGCGGGGACAGTGAGCTGGCCGAGCCCGAGCCCCCGGCGTCCGGCCGGAGCGAAGATGCAGTGAGCCACCGCGGGACTGCTGCGCGGGGCCCGCCGCGGCCAGCCGGACCCACCGCCTGACCGCACTTTGGGCAAGCAGTGATTCTGGGAGCAGCCCAGCGGAAGGGCTGTCTCGCGTACCCCTTGAGGGTGGGGAGCCTTGGTTCCTTGGCACACTCGCTGTTGAGTTTCCGCGGTTTCTGGCCCGAGCCCCAGGGTTGTGTGTGAGTGTGAAGGAGTCCCTTCACACGTTTGCCAAGGAGTTTCTGCATATTCTTGCACCATCCCGGGTGCTTTTGCTGGGGCTCCCTCTGTTTGCACGCACGCATCTAGCTTTTTCCTTAGACATTTTCGGCTCCACTCTCGTTCCATCTTTCTCTCGTTTTGCTTGCCCGAGACTCTTTGCCTTCATCCTTGCCCAGGCTAGAGTAATTCTGGGTGAGCGCGCGTGCTTTTATTTTATTTTTTGCGAACTTGAAGCTGAATATTTTCTTTTAAAAATTCTATCTCCACCCCCTGCGGGGTTCCAGAGCACTATCTCTTACCCCTCCCTCCTTACCCCTCCACCACCGGGCCGCTGCCAGCAGATTTTTTTTTTTTTTTTTTTCCCTTTGGTCTTGCCCGGGCCGAGCCCTATCGGGGCGGGTGGCTCAGCCCGACTCGCATCCGGCGCTCCGCCGCCGCAGCCCAGCTGCGCCGGGGTGCCCTCCGGAGATGCTGCCGTGGAAGAAGCACAAGTTCGAGCTGCTGGCCGAGGCGCCACCGCGGCAGGCGTCCAAGCCCAAGAGCTACGCCGTGAGCCTGCACTACTCGGCGCTCAGCTCGCTGGCGCGTGCTTGCCCCGAAGGCGCACTCAGCCGGGTGGGCAGCATGTTCCGCTCCAAGCGCAAGAAACTGCACATCACCAGCGAGGACCCCACCTACACCGTGCTCTACCTGGGCAATGCCACCACCATCCAGGCGCGCGGCGATGGCTGCACCGACTTAGCCGTGGGCAAAATCTGGAGCAAGAGCGAGGCGGGCCGTCAGGGCACCAAGATGAAGCTGACGGTGAGTGCGCAGGGTATCCGCATGGTGCACGCCGAGGAGCGCGCGCTGCGCCGCCCAGGCCACCTCTACCTGCTGCACCGCGTCACCTACTGCGTGGCGGACGCGCGGCTGCCCAAAGTCTTCGCCTGGGTATACCGGCACGAGCTGAAACACAAGGCGGTAATGCTGCGCTGCCACGCCGTGCTCGTGTCCAAGCCCGAGAAGGCGCAGGCCATGGCCCTACTACTCTACCAGACGTCGGCCAACGCGCTGGCGGAATTTAAGCGCCTCAAGCGGCGGGACGACGCGCGTCACCAGCAGCAGGAGTTGTTGGGCGAGCACACCATTCCTATAGTGCCGCTGCGCAAGCTGCTTTTGCACGGACCTTGCTGCTACAAGCCGCCGGTGGAACGCAGCCGCAGCGCGCCCAAGCTCGGCTCCATCACCGAGGACCTGCTCGGCGAGCAGCAGGAGCAGGAGCTACGGGAGGAAGAGGAAGAGGAGCACCCCGAGGGCTGCCCGGAGGAGGAGGAGGACCGCGCGGTGGAAAGGGGCAGCACGGAGGAGGAGGCCGAGGCGCAGCGAGCACTGGTTGTGGCTATGCATTTCGAATGCGGGGACTTGCTGGACACGCTGGAGAGCGGCCGCGAGGAGGCGCTGCGGAGCGACGGGGTCTCGCTGGGCCCAGTGGCCGGGTCATCGCCTCTGCTGCTGGGCAGCGCCGCCGACATGAAGGCCGAGCTGTCGCAGCTCATTAGCGACCTGGGAGAGCTCAGCTTCGGCAATGACGTGCGCAGCCTGCAGGCCGACTTGCGCGTGACGCGCCTGCTGTCGGGCGAGAGCACTGGCAGCGAGAGCTCCATCGACGGCGGGGGCCCGGACGCCACCTCCGCCACCGCTGAGGACCCGTTGGGGCCCGCAGATGGCGCCAGTCCAGATGAACCCCACTCAGGCTGAGTTCCCAGCAGCCTCCTGCCCGCGCCCCCGGCGCCCCACTGTGACTGCCCACCCATTGTCCGACATCACCCCTCCGACCGCCCCCAGGAAAGGGGAAATGGGACACTTGGGGCCCAGACCTCCACTGGGGCTGAGGTCCAGAGTTCCAGCTGTCGCCTCTCTCCCCACGTTTGGCCGCGCGTGGAGAGGTGGGCGAGAGGGAAACCCCAGACAGGGAGGGAGAGAGAGCAGCCCTCTGGGGTGGGGGTGGGGGTTAAGGGAAAGGGCCGGCTGAAGTTAGCAAAGTCCCGCTGGCGTGAGGTGCCTACCAGCCAGTTTCCTGTTTTTGGGGCAGCTGGGGCCGAGGAGGAGGGGTTAACTTCCTCCCCCCAACCTCTACTGGGAGCGGTCTGGCACTGTCATTGACGTGTCATTAAAAAAAAAAAAAAAGAGCGTTCCCGATGTTTGAGGCTTCAGTGCCACCCCCCTTCCCCAGCTCTTTTTGGTGCGAGAGAGCTTGGGTTGTTTACCTCAGATTCAGACCCTTGAAATTCTGCCAAATTCCTCAAATAACTGTTTGGGGGAGGGGGGATGAAAGTTGCGTTTTGTTTACAGTTAAAGACATCTAATACCTAAAAAAAAGGAATTTTCCTTTAGAAACACACACACCTTCCTCCTGCTCCAGAGAGCTCACGCCATGATACTGTGTAAAATATTTTTGCACTGTGGTGAAGTATTTTCGACATATTTTTTGTTTTGTACATAACTGTGTTCTCCGGGTTAAATGTTTATATCTTTTGCTGTGCAAAAGGGACATGTAAAATGTTGTTCAGTTGTATATACAGAAATGTGTATAAAACGTTTTGTTATTTTTTAAGAGTTGAAATGTTCTGGTTCTGTTTACGCGCCAGTTGGGAGAGAATAAAGACGAACATTGAACAGAACAGGTGAGCGTCTGGACCTGCTGCTGAAGATGCTTGGCCGTGGGGGTGGGAGAGGGTGTGCCCATCCCCAAGATGATGTGGTAGGACCACCGTTGGCCTTTGCATTGGGTGGAGATGATTAGGGAAGAGGGTCCACTTTATGCCTAGTCTTGGGGGCTTCCTGGACGTCTTCAACGTTGGATGCTGTGGCTGGGGCAAGCCATCTCGAGTATATTCTGCGTATCATTAACTTGTGCAAGTCTGGGCTTTTTGAGTTAATACTTGGAGATGCCATGGTGAGTTCCGTTTCCCATTCTCAGGCCTGTGAGGTTCTTTGTGGAGGAGTGACATGCAAGGTCAAGTGTGGTTTTACTACCCCCTTCTCTGGGTCGTGTAATGATCAGGTGTAAGCATACTATATAATCTTTTCCTTTACAGACAGCTCCAAGAGCTTAAGAGATGGGCTAGAGATGAAGAACATCCCCACGGGGCTCTCTGAGGCGTGGGACCATCTTTGTTTTTCCTGGGAGGGGAACCAAGGCGAGGGAAGCCGAAAAGTTCCAATCATGGCATGAATGAGTCATGGTGCAGGTGGGTGGGTGGGCAGGCAGGCCACGGAGTCCACTTCCTTCCTTTCTACAACCTAGCGATGACCCGTGGGGGAGTGGCGTGGAGGTCAAGGCAGAGGGGAGTGGTTAGAGCTTGGTCTCCATGAGTGTTTTAGGGTGTTCATGCTTTCTCTGAGTTTGTTTCTGTTGTAAACTTCAAACAGATGTCTCTATTTTGGCTAAACCTGATCAGCTGGAGGTTGTAATAAGATGCTGCCGGAACTGTGCCTTCTACAAATTGTTTTTTCCCTTTACCCTTTTGGGCCCCGTTTCCTGTGCTGTAGAAATGAATCTCACTCCTGGCCTTCCCCAGTGTCCTGAGGAGGCCGGAGAAGGCCACTTTGCTTTGTTTTCATCGTAAGTATGTTCAGAGCAGCTAGATCCAGAAGTTCTAAGATGTCTGGAATTCACTTGAACTGTAGAAGCAGGGAGGGTGAAAGATTTTCTTCCTAATTAATGGGAGTGGTTCAGGCGTAAGACTATCTTTAAAAGAAAATAGCAAAGGGGAGTGGGTGGGAAATGTTTAATGAAAACATGCAGAGGCTCTTCTTAAGGACATGAGGACAAGGTCCAGGCCTTTGATTTTATTTGCTTTTGGTTCCGTTGAGAGTCCCTGTCCCTGTCCCCCAGTACCTCAGATACACATCATTGAATGACATTCCAAAATCCGCAGGTGAAGAGGGGTCAGAAAAGTCAAATCCCCCCCTACCTGTACACCCACCTTGGCACGCCTTCCACAGTTTCCCCAGATCAGCCAACAGCTGTGGGGGCCATCTCTATACTGCATGAGTAGATTTCACATTTCACATTATTCCTCCCGTGTTGCCAAGTGCCTCTGCTGTTTGGAACAGATGAGAACATAAAACAAGGTGAAGATAATAAGCCTAATACTTTATGTGTCCATGAGAATGCCAAGGTTGCTTTTCATCTGTGACTGATGGGGTATGGTGGCCGGTCCCAAAGTTCAGACAAATGACATTTAAACCAACGCCGTCAGTAGATACAAGGTGGCTATTTCTTTAAAGTCTGCTTTTTCCTCGTAACTGATTTAGATTCGGGGAGGGGGCTTACAGGCTGAGGAAGAGGAAGAAGCAGATAAGCCCGCTGCGAAGAACCAGCTCCCTTCCTCCCTCCCTCCTGGTGCCCTTCCCTCCCGCCTCCTCCGTCCCTTTGTTTTTTGGCTGTTCTCCCCGCTGCACCCCAGGCTCAGGCTGATGTAATTCTAGAAGAGATGTGAAGGTGATCTGTGATTCACCTCTTCTTACAGCTCCATCTTCCAGGGATGATATCACTAGAGTAAGGGGAGATGTTTTGAATGGAGGAAAAAAAAAAAAGCAAACACAAAACCCATTTGCTTCTGACGCTCAGTGGGAAAAGAGTGGCATGAAAAAAAGCAAGGCTAAGAGGACATACACATTCCAGAAAGCACCTGCGGTCTGGTTTACTCATCAATTTTTGCTTTTCCCTCTTGCTAGGTCAGGCTCGCGTTTCTCCTTTACGTAACCTGATGGTGCTTTAAGTGCAGTGAGACACTTGCCACATTCTTTCCTGGCCTAAGTCATCCTCCACGTCCAACAATGCAGCATTGACAGCCTGAAAAATGGCGTGACTTCCTTCGTTGCAGGGGTGGCAGCGGGAGTGCAGGGAGGCAGCATGCGTCACCCGCGTCACCCGCTCTGAGCACAAACATCCCATGTTCGTTTTGTACGATTTGTTATGTGTGTTGAACAAGAAGTAGCAGGGCGTAAAATAAATAAGAGTATTACATCCCCTCTCAGCCATGATAGTTTCAGCGCAAGAGCACCCGCTCCACACACATGCACGCTCTCCTCCCTGCAAAAACACCGCGTAGTCGGCATTACGGTAGATTTTAAACAAACGAGAAAGACTCTGTTACACACTAAGAGCAAAATTCCCTCCCGGGGGACAGAGCTGTTTTCAAGGGTTCTGCCTGTGAAAAGCAGAGAGCTGGCTGGTAGAATCCACCTCTGGCACCATGAGGGAGATTAAAGGAACTCATGGGAGTTGCCAGGAATCATGAGAAACATGAAAATTCTATTAGGGGCAAGTTGCCCTCTTTTCTAACAGGATTTAGGAATTTAATAAGCATCACAGTCCAGCTCAATTCTCTCCTCCGTGGTATGTATGCATCAGTAGCCCTAGCATTTGCTGGTAAGCGATGCATGACAAGCTAGAAATGTGCGCGCGCTGCTGGGGCCAGGAGCCACGCCTGCCGCATGGGAAATGACTTGGTGCTCCAGGCAGGTGTGAAGCTGCTGGGACCAGGACGTTCTGTACTCCCTGACCCCACGTTGCTTTTCTGCACATTGGACATCTGGATCTGGCTTCTCCATTAGCTGGGGCTTTTCCTGCTCCTGGCTCCACCACGTTCATAGGCCACAGGGCCCACAGCCAGCTCTGGGGTGGCCCAATTGTAGCAGCCCTGGCTACCCACCCTTTTGGTGATTTGAATGGCTGTCAGAAGGGCCTCTTTTCCTGCCCTTATTTTCATCTTCTTCGTCCCACTTCTGCAGTTACCACATCATTCCCTTTTGCTTCTCTTATTACCCAGCTCCCCACCTGGTTCTACTTCATTTCTTCTCTTTCTCAAAAACCTCAGACTTAACTCACCTAAAAGAAGAACGAAAAAAAAAAAAAAAAAAAAAACCATTGCAACCCTGTAGGACAGAGTAGAAATGCTCCATAGAGTTTCCAGGGAGCAGCTGGTGGATTCAAACTGTCAGCTTTTTGGTTAGCAGCCAAATGCTTAACCACTGTACCACCAGGGCTCCAGAGAAAGTCTTAATTTTAAAAGAAAACAAACCATGCACACGGGCATCAGCCAGCACCAATCCTGCAATTCCAAAGGGTGTTCTGGCACTGCCCCTACTTAGAGATGAACAAACTGGGTCACAGAGGGCTGATGTCCTGCCCAGGGTCAAGGAGGGATCAAGACGCAGGAGTCAAGCTCCTGAACCGATGCTCTTTGCACATGCTTCAGGTCTAGATAACTTACAATCAGATTCTAAGCTTTGGGATAACAGAAACTGGTAGTTCTATTTTTCTTTTATCCCCCTTCACACTTCATACATGGTAGATGCTTAAATATTTGTGCTGTCTTTCATCATCACCCCATACCACCACCAAATGTGACTGACTATCTGCTAGAAGCAAGATGCTGAAGGTAGAGAGGTCGGTGGCTATTTTCCAAGGGAGACTGCTCCTGGTAGGTAGGATGGGAGTCCCTAGAGGAACTTGATCTCTTGCTTCTACCCCTGAGAACTGGTCTGGTGAGATCCCGCCCTAGAAGAGCAGGTCGAGTTTGAGGGTCAGGGAGCTCTTCCCGTTGCGTCATGGTTATTAATCATTGATATTCTTCCTGGGACAGACATTTGTCTTAGATGTCTTCGATTCACTGCACTGAGCACAGCATCTGGTGCATAGTAGGTACTCAGTAAATGCTAATGAAGAAGTAAAGGACTGATTCCACTCCAGTCTGGGAGAACAGGTCTGATAAGATTCATTGTCATCCCTTGGCTGGAGGAACCAATGTTTTAAGGATATATGTTTGATGAGGAGAGAATAGGATTCATTTGACTCCTCAACTCTATGTGAAATAGAGTCCCCCAGTTTTCCCTGGAACTTGCTGACCTTCTAGGGAAGGATGGTTCTGGTTTGGAAAAGGATGGTTTATTTAGAAGTGACTTTGAATAGAATTGGTATCTCATCCCAGCCCTAAGATTATTGTCCAAATCCCTCTAATGTGAGCCAAATGGAGGCTCAAATGATGTGGTATGGCAGAAGCCTCAACTTGAATCCAGGCCCTGAAGTGACTTGGTCTCAACATCTGACCCAGGCAATCAAGTGACATCCCCTGTCAAGCCTCAGGATCCTGGCATGTAAGATGGGTGGGCAGGATAGGATAATAGCATGACTTGCAGACCTAATGTTCTGAACTGAAGAAAGAGCAAAACTTAAGTGTCTTTTCACCTTGTGGGACATAACAGAAGACACCTCTGACCATAGGCTATTAAGGAGCCCTGATGGCACAGTGGTTAAAGTGATGGACTGCTAACCGAAAGTTCAGCTGTTCAAAACCACCAGTGACTCCTCAGGAGAAAGATGTGTCAGTCTGCTTCCACAGAGATTTACAACCTAGGAAACCCTGTGAGGTCACTATGAGTCCGAATTAACTCGATGGCAGTGGGTTTGGACCATAGGCTAAAAACTGTCTGGGGCTCTGGGGACAGGGCTCGTCTTTAGGACCTACTGTGGCCTGGACCCATATCAGGGTCTGGTTTGGAGGTGGTGCTCTCTTGCCCAAGCCAAAGCAGGAGTCATGTGTTAAGTATCCCTTTCACCACCTGAAAACTTGGGGGCCTTAGTGGTTCCTGACATGGGAACTGTCTCTGAAGCTAAGGGCCAGGTAGGGCCCGGAAGGTAAAATGTCTTTGCCTAAGATCACTCAGCAAATTTGGATTAGAATTTACGTCACCTGAATCCATGTCCTAAACTCTTTTCCCTGTATTCTTTAGATTGGCAGTAAGTCAGCTTGGAAGCAACCTAGAGACTGTCCAAGAAAATTTGGCAGAGCCTACGTGTCTGATTAAAGGCCATGAGGCCACCTGGTAGCAGGGTGTTCCGGTCTCCTATCAACAAAGACTAGGACCAGGACCCACCTAAAGCAGGCCTGGGAATAAGCCTAAACCTGTGGCCGTCGAGTTGATACTGACTCACAGCCACCCTATAGGACAGAGTAGAACTGCCCCATAGGGTTTCTGAGGAGCAGCTGGTAGATTAGAACTGCCAACCTTTTGGTTAGCAGCAAAGCTTTTAACCACTGTGCCACCGGGGCTCCCTGGGAATAAGACGGAGCTGATAATCTGGCACGCTTCCCCACCTCCCCTTGCAGTAGGCTCCTCCTTGCTCCAAGGCCCACCCCCACCTGAGGTCCATCCC